TTTTCACTGCAATATTGAGGTCTTTCATACTGCAACAATGCTGTGATTGTTATGTAATGTTCTATAGGTATATTTTTGCTTGAGCCAAATCTATGTCACATTCTGGTTTTGCCACATTGCCACAAGTGACAACTGTGCTAAACCTCCAGAGACGCTGAAGTCTGCTAAAATCTGTTGGCCAAGCTGGACTCAGCGGCTCGCCTGATTGGCTCACAGAACCAGGAAATGTCTGAATGGACATTAGCCCAGATAGACCATATGGTCATACTCTAGTGAGGATCCAGTCCTCACTAGAGTAAACGCAGTCCGTGTGTCATGTGGCACACTAACATAAGACCCCAACGTTGTTATCAAAGCCAAGCTGACATATTGGTTTAAAGGCGCGTGTGTGTGTTTTGTGTGTGTGTGTGTGGTGTGTGTCGTTGTGGGTGTGTGTGTGTGTGTGTGACTGTCATTTGAGAATATATGCTGATGTCAACACGTGCACAACAAATCACATGTTGCCATCCGCAGCTGCTGGTGTTTTTATCTTCTGAGTGTTAAATGCCAGCAGCTAAACGCTAACAGCTAACACACATTTCACATCCTTCTCTATTTCATTTCATTCTTTCATTCAAGACGATGCAACACATTTCCTCTCTCCCCCAACACATACTCCCTTGCGCCCACGCGCCGAACAGCTATTTATACCGCAGCCTATTATTTCCAGCTCATGTCTTTTTAATCTGAGGGTAGCACCCTGCATTTCTAAACAGGTGGTTTATCCACACTCTCTCCCTCAGCTGTCCATGAATCCACTCGCACACACAGCGAATATTTCCATCAATCCATCAATCACCGCCAAAGTGCCATCTGCCTCTTCTTCATCCATCTATGTCTCGATGAAAAGAAGGATTAAAGAAGAGATGGAGGAGGATGAATAAAGAGGTGGAGAAGAAGGAAAAGATGATGTGCACCATATTTTCCTACTGTCATGTGACCCTTTGGAATATCCCATCATAGAGACATTTCAATATTTCAGCCTCTCCATAAATGAATGATGTCAATGTTTACTTCTCACACTGAGTTGAGGCCCACAAGTGAGCGAGAGGAGGCCCCACTGATGAGTGTGGATTGCATTGGATTGAACATGTGTGGCCACTAAGGAATGAGACGGTCCGTCCATTGGTTGGAAGATCTTATTTAATGGGGCAAGGAGGAAAGAGGAGAGGAGGAACATCCCTCTCTCACATTCGTAAACACTCATCCGTATCTCCAACTCTTTCTTTTCTTTCTCTCTCTTCTTCCGTATACATTTCAGGATGCATGGCTCAGTGCGACACACATTCCCAATGAAAAGCATTGTAACTGCATGAGGTAAGACACAGCTGAACATTAGCTGTTGTGTTGAGTGAGTCTACTATTGTCGTCAAAGGGCAGGTTATAAATTGTTTGGCAGAACTCTTTGACAGAACATTTTCCCCAGTGTGTGTCCAAAACTGTGTTTAGAGGTTTAAGAATCGGTCATGGAAACTTACTCTCTTTACTGTATGTTTTTAGAATGGACTGACTGTGTGGACACACATTTAGATGAAGTCTTATCTTGTCCCATAGTTGTGGTTTACACTGTTAAAACTGTGGAGCCTAAATAGTCTCACTCATCAAATACTGCAGCTTGGTCAGTGGACTATAATATATAACCCCTGTAAGTATCCCTCTAGTGTCATTTCTGGACGTGCTCACCATCGAAATCAGGACTAAGTAATAAAACAATCATGTTTTCACCCATGATACACACTGGGACATTCCGGTTTTTGACATTTCAAGCTTGGACGTCCTGCTTCCTCTCATTATAAGTCAAATGTTTTTCATTTCTCAGTTTCACTTCACATTACTAAGTGCCTTCTACCAACCATGGCCTTTTATCATCTACACTTTGGATATACCTATAACTATCTGTCTCTCAATAATACTGTTGACTCGTGTAAGAATGGAGCTGAATAAAGAGGTTTTTCATGTTTCATACAAACAGGATAAGACCAACATGAGACTCAAAATAGGGATACTCATGCATGCAAACGTACTCCTACTTACTGTCTAGTCAGGTGGTTAATAGAATAATTTTATAATAATAAATAGCCAAAACTACAAAGTCATTTATATTAGAAATCAAAATCATTGTAATGCTTTGAAGGATTATGATTAAAAGCTTGGATTAAATAATAATTTCAAACAGATGTTAGTGTGCAGATGCTTTTCTCAGTCTGTAAACTTCCAAACAACAAACCTGACAGGATTACTGACAGCAGCGTACAAATATCACACCAAAAATAACCTGACGATGTTTGCTGGCCAAACAGACGTTCAACATCTCCCAAAGCTTACAGTGTGTTAGCTTTCCTTTTAAAGGCTTGATGTGAGCGTGTGCTGCCAATTCATTCCTACACTACTCCTCTCACTGCTCCTCTCCCTCCATCACCCTCCCCACGTCTTTCATCCTATTCTCACTCCGCTCCACACATCCTTTACTCGCACTCCCACCGGGCTGATACTGGCCCCCGTATCAGCAGATGACCTCAGTCACTGATCCACTCGCTGCCTGCCTGTCATCCGCTGCTAAATATGGAGCATGACCGGAACCGTGAGGAATAGAGAGGGGGGAGAAAAAGAAAGACAAATTAAGCTAGACAGAGACAAAAGGGTAAAAGTGTGACAGCAAAAAAGGGGAGGAAAAGATTGGAAAAAGAATGAAATGGAGAAGAAAGGGAGTGGGAAGCTGGCAGCCAGATCCACCAGGCCCTGTCAGACCTAAAGAGTCCGTAAAATTCCTGGCAGATCCAAGTTCATCTCAAACAGAATTAGAAGAACCACTGACTCAACACCTGAAGAATGCTTTACTACTTTTCTATTGACTTAAATATGTGTGTGTGTGTGTGAATGACAGAGCGAGGGAGAGAAACCAAATAAAGAGAGATTGCGTGTCTGAAGGATGAGAGAATGAACATGAGTTGTGGAATAATTCAACCTCTAGCCCTGGTAGTGTTAGTGCCTTGCTCCAGATCAACTGAGAGCAATCCCACCAGGTCCATTCAGACCCAAATGAACTCGGATCAGATCAAATTCAGGACAGTGAGATCAGGACAGAGGGGAGACACCGTGTGAGTGTGTGTGGGTGATGGCTTTCACACAGGCAGGGCACAGCAGAGAGAGGGTCACCTTGCAAGGTGCCCATATCAACAAGTCACAACTCAAATGTGAGAATGCCAAACACACTCACACACACACACAACAAGAGGGTAAAGGTCCAGCAACAATCAAAGGTTGTACTCAATATTACTTCCTATCTACTACACAGTAGAGCTGCAATGACTAATTGTTTAGATGATCAAAAGACAATTAGTTGCCAACTATTTTCAGAACCGATTGATCATAAAAATATCAAACATTTTCTGGTTCCAGCTTTCTAAATGGGAGGATTTGCTGCTTTTCTTTGTCATTTATCATTGTAAGTGAAGTCTTTGGGTTTTGGATGTTGGTTGGACAAAATAAGCAATGTGTTAATAGCTTTCATATCAACATCCAAGTCATAATTAGGACTGGGAAACTGTGTTTCTCTGAGCTGTGATATATCTGACAATGCTCTGACTAAGTGCCTGAACAAACTAAACAAAGTCTGTCATTTGATGTGATTAATGTTGCAAGTCATTAACACAATCAACTGCCCACTACAGAGTTAACTATTGAATGACAGACAAAGCCAGAGTTCATTTATAAATTTACAAGATATGCTGGCAGTTTATAACTGTTCATCTTCATCGTTATTGTTCTTTTTGATTGACTTATACTTATTCCTATTGATGTATTGACTTAATCTGTGCTTTATTGTTTGGACTTTTACATGTACAAATGAAAAAAAGCCAAATTATTCATTCTCTTGTGTTAGGCCACCATGAGCCTCCAGAACAGCTTAAAGCTTGTGAAAATCTACTGGAAAAAGCAGTCTTCCAAAAGATATTCCCTCTATTAGTGTTCTGGTGAGGAGTGTTAAAATAGAAAATAAGCAGTCCGTCATAGAGAGGGGAAGGGGCGCCATATCAGTTGAATATGTAGCCAACAGCACCCATATTCAGACAGTTTCTCCTGGAAGTTGTTTAACACTCGGCTGTTGACATGAAAAGTGACACAAATAGCCGTGCTGAGAACAAAAAAAGAGAACCAGAAAGAGAGGTTCAGTTCCTGGCTCCTTTCTGGATGTGAATGTCGGGTTCTTCGGTTTCGCAAAGTTACGGCAGTGATCTTCCCCTTCAGTGAGCCCTCCTGCCACTATGGGAGCATCGGTGTTGTTGTTGTTGTCTGGTTGCCCTTCATGAGATAACAACGCATTGTGTACCAGCTGCCCTTCATCTGAACTGCTTACCAAAGTGGTCGTCATTGTTTGGCTCATCCAACTGATACTAAAGTTAGATGTTTACATCTCTGTCTGTGGTCATGTATTGGATGGATATAAAAGGCTCCACCTTCGTCATTCTGTTCAGAGCGTCCACGTCGTGTCCCTGTCTGGGCCTACAGTTGTGATTGTGTACCGACATACTCTAAAAGACATTCAAGGCTGTGTGTAAGAATGTCCGTGTTCCTGGGTTTGAATGTTAGAGTGCGTGTGGGCAATTCGTTCTAATTAAATCCTTGAACGAGCTTTTCTGGTGAACAAGTTCCAAACCTTGGCCAACAGCTGGCCTGCATTAATATGGCTCTGTGTGTACACGTGTGTGTGCGATGTGTTTTCTAGCTGTTCCAGATCCCTCATTATTACCTGACGGAAAGAGTGGCCTTGTATGGGGAAGAAAAACAACTGTGAGTGTGCAAGGTTCTGTCTGAGTGCATGTGTGGGTATGAGTCTGTTTAAGGCACTGATAGATCGGTGGAGAAAAACTGATTAATGATGAATTAAGAAAAATAACAGAAATGTTAAGTAGAGGGATGTTTAAATGTGTTTCATGTTTTATGTGGTTTTTTCTTCTTACCTTCTCTGCAGGTCCATCTCCTCTGGTGTGGGGCCATTCTGGACCTGGGGTGCCTGTCTGGGCAATGTGGGGCCTGTAGAGGGCGACACACACAGACACAGCCTTCCTGTTAGCTGACATCATCACTCTGACTGACACACAACTCCTGGTGCGCTCTTTTAATAAAGAAATAGATCAACAGTCAAAAACACACAGAAACTGAATCATATCATATAAGATCAAAATTCATTTGGTATTTTTGTGACGAGACTCTTCTCCGACCTGTCAAAAGACAAAGTTACATCGAGCCACTGGTGCAGAGAGCTGCAGAAAAAACTCCAAATCAGGAGGAAACAAGGAGCTAGTGCTGGTTGTCATGGCAACACAGTATTTGGCATAAGGTCTGCAGGTTATTTAGTTAGTAGGTCTCAGGTGCATAGGGTTGTCTAGAGTTTTCTCCTCTGAAGTCACCAGTCATTTATGTGTTTATGTGACACTAAACGTGAAGGAGCATTTATCTTTCTACAATGGTGAAAAAAATTATTCACACCAAACCTTAAACGTACTACAAGGAGTTTTCAACTGGTTAGAAAACAGTCTCAATTTAATAATGATGCCCCTATACCATCAGAGAGGAGATTGGCTGTTTCTATACAGTGATGGAGAGATGAGGGGGGCTTCTTGGGCTTCAGCCCCAAATGCTTTCTCAACAAACTCGAATCTTTTAAGCTTTTAAAATAACTTTTCATTTTCATTTCCCCACCGTCTCTCTGACTGGACCGGCGAATCAATCGGGCGAAAGTTCTATTACTGGGGAAATATCACTATCTATGGGTCCATCCTAACATTGTTATGGGGGGGTTGCTGTCTTGTGAGTCTGTCCTGTCACCTCAGTGAGCAAGCTAGCTAATTGTCTTAGGGACTTTGGACATGCCCCTGTTCCTATACAGTTATTCTTAATGCTGCCAATGGGTCGGATTTGGTTGGATTCCCCCTAAAGAAATAGGGCGCTTTTGTCCACAGGGGCCGCCAGAATCAACACAAACGAAAGTTCTTGTAGGGGCTTTAAGTAAAAGTAGCAATACCACATTTACTGAAAAACTGAATTTCAAGTCTGAAAGTATAAGAAGTGCAATGCCTCGCTGCAGAGAGTTTGCTATGTAGTCACGTTTCATATAAGGTCCGCACATATATAAGCAGGACATTAAGTGAGCCATATAATCAGATTTGAAGCTCATTCCCTCCGCGTACACCACTGACTGAACTCCCTCCACCTCCCCAGCCTTCACCTGCATTAGCATTTAGATTTATGGGAATAAATAATGGCAAAGGGTAAATATTTTCTGGTTTACTGGTCAACTTGGGCTCAGAAAAATTATGATGGGCATTTCTTTTTTCCTGACATTTGAAACTCAATACTTCTCGAGTACAGAATGTGTCTGCTGTATTATCACATGTCAAAACTACTTAAACTTGACTGCGCAGACAGACTCTTGTTTACTTGTTTCTTCATCAGATAATTCATGCATCGTCTTTTAAAATTGACACTGTTAATTTACACCTTGTAAGGTGGTTTGAGTTTAAATAGTGACTTAAAAGTTTACTTTATATAAGTATTAAAAACCAATGCTGGCTTGCTGTTAATTTTTATGTATGGCAGTGGTTACTCTTTTCTAATTCTTTTCCACATTTTGTCTGCATGTTGCTCACTGTTAGAGGTACTAGATGCCAGCTTATGAAAGAAAACTGAGCAGGTACAACAGGTGTTAGTGTTTCATATGTAGACAGGCTGACAGACAGGATGGAGTCACAATAAGGGCCTAAACCGAAGGATCAACACTAATGCTAGAGCTGCGACATTTGGTCGATGAACTATTCAGTTTGTCACCAACTATTTTGATAATTGATTAATCGTTTAGAGTCATGTTTTAAGAAAGAATTCACTTATTTCAGCTTTTCAAATGGGAATATCTGGTGGTTTCTTTTGTCCTCTATGACAGTAAACTGAATATGTTTTGGGTTTTGGACAAAACAGGGTTGTTTAAGGACCCTGGACAACATAAATTACCTTTTTCTTAAAAATAAAAACTGAATCAAACAAAGGGCCAAAGGTCGAACCCATAGCCACTGCAGCAAGGACCCTGCCTTGGTAGCTCACCTGGTGGAGCTGGTACCCCATCTTTCACCATTTTCTGACATTTTATGGACCAACCAAACTAATCTATAATGAAAATAATCGGTAGTTGCAGACCTAATATTAACACATTAACCTATGACTGAGTGGCTGGTTTAGAATAGAGGAAAAGACAAAGATGAAAGCCCAAAACAGTAAAATTAAACTAGATCCATGTTTTTGTGCACAGTCTGAGCATAAACCCTGAAACACAGACAACACACACTGATGTACTATCAGCAGCCTCTGGCACAAGAACAAGAGACACACAGACATCACTGTCTAATTTACACTTGCTAATGAGCTAACTTTTCTGCAAAACCTGAGCAGGACCAGATGGACCAACACGGTACTCCTTCCCCCTCTGTGTACCAAACATACACACAAACACACCAGAAGCTTCTGGATCTGGATGGAGCTGAAAGGGGAGCAGATTTTGACTGCAATTAGTATGCAGCTAAGTGTTAACTGTCTGAAGAGACAGACAGAGATAAAACAGGCAGAATCTGGGCTGTAGCCAGGGCTGACGACTGCTTCTGAATACCAACGTGCTCGCACACATTGCCCCCACTTAACACTGTCACTGACATTGGCATCAGATACTTTTACACAACAGAAGAGAACAGGGTTTGCCACGTCTGAGTCAAAACAATTAGAGCAGTGTAACAACAGCACTGTTTTTTTGTTTTTTTTTCGTTTTTTCAATTATGTACTTTCTGTTGAATTTAAGACCTCTGGATTCTCAGTGGGAGCAAATTCCTGCCCTGCCACCAGCAAATGTGAACTATAATACACAAGAAAGGTGATGTTAAGGCAGGGACACCAAACTCCTGGAAATGCTGTGACTGTTCACACAAAAATGCAAAAGGATGCACCAACTCATCTGGGATGGAAAAAGAACACAAAAACAATAAAAGAAGCTCTGTGGGTTCCTTTGGTGTGACCTTGGCTAATTATATGAGTAAGTGCAGACCATGACCAGAGTTACTGGAAACCAGCATACCAGCCATCAGTAGTGTCAGCACAGAAAATCCTTTCTGATGAGTCAGCACGGGGCCCTGAACCATCATGAATATATCCGTTAGTTTTCCTACTGATAGCACATGACAGGACTGTGAAAATATTTGATCAGACATAGTTTCTAAAATAGGTTTTCAAAATCTTGTGTTCTTCTATCTCAGTTCCTCACTGACAACAGAAGTCTCTCTCCCAGTGTTTTGGTGTAATGTGGACCACTGGCCAAGAGAAACCAGGAGGAGTAAAAAGTGGGTCAGTTAATACTAGTGTCACAGTTGTGTACTGTAAACTACGTCTAACTGTGACTCCACTATTTATGTCTCTTTTTTATCGTCGTGATGATGT